CGCCGATCCTTTTATTCAAATGACAGAATTTTTATTCATATGATCAACATGATTTAGCCGAAATTATGTTGAATTATACATCGTGTTAACATAATATGTTGTACAAACCCTAGAAGATGGAATGAAATAAGTTTCTTATGCGAGATTACAAATTCCCGTTTATTTGTGATGACATTGTTAACATATCACACTCGTGTGCTTATTTCAACAGATATGTTTTATTATTATTTAATCGAAGGATAAGCTTGAATAATAGGGTTGATAATGATAGCACTAATTTCAACACAGTTAATAATCTAATGTTATTATAATGAGCACTCGATAGTAGCCGATAATGTGGTAAACGAGGTCAGTCGTTTATTACACGACTAAACTAGATCAAGGTCAAGGTCATTTTTACAAATCAAAAACATACGTCTCGGTGACAAACAGCCGGTGTGCAGAAATAGACACATACGTATGAGTTCACCTCGCATTCTGAAGCTATTTGCGGCTGTGGCCCACTTGTAAGAGATGGGTCAAGGTCGACCTTCGTAACAAGGTTAAGAGGGATACACTAATCTTTACAAATTTCTTCTCGATATTGGATAGTAACGCTGAAATTTACAAGTAACTAATTCAGGTATCGAAATTCGTGCTTATCATAGACGAAGAGACTGACCTTGGCATCTAAATCAGGGCCGCTCCATCAAATGAAGTAATCATGTCAACGTGATAAAAAATAATATGTACTGCACTGAAAGGACGGGAAGAGGTGGGGATCGCTCCTTGTACCGACGAGCCGGTGAAACTTGGTCAAGGCTGACGGCGTCGCCGTCCCCCTCCTGCATCCGAACGCTGCCGGAGCTGCCCGAGCGCAACCGACCGTCGTGGCCGCCGCACTAGCTCCTGCCGCCCGCACGCATTCTATAGCGCGCCCAGATAGCGGCAGTCCAATCGTTACACAATCGAGATAAATCATCACCCGTGATGATACATCGAACTATGTCAAGATCTCTTCTATGCATTAAACATGTTACCGCTAATGAGAATCGTATTAGACTACTGCCACGAAAATTTTTATTGATTATTTATATTTGCAATAGTAAATCGACTAATAATTTTAATTAAAATATTTGAACTAATATTTATATGCCAATCCACGTTACATATAAGAAAAATAGGTATTTATTAGCATTAGGTGCATTTAAGGTTCCTAGGCAGTAGGATTTCTGCCATAATAAATGCATTCACTAAAGCCAGTTGATGTGCCATAAAGGCGGGAGTACGACCTAAATGAAGTGCCAAGCACCAAAATTCTTCCAAGATGGCGGCGTCTGTAGCACTGTCGTAATAATACGACAGGTAATGCCTAAAAAATAGAAAGGCCCGGTGTGCGAGGCCGCTCTGTCGAAACACTGTATTCGGGTCAAGGCAGCGCGCCGAAATAGTCGAGTGGCGCGCGCGTTTTTATTGTACTCTAACATCTGTCGCAGCCCGCAGCGTCTGACCCCTGCGCTTTTCAATAATGAATTTGTAAATTTCGTATGTCAAATGCATTATAAGATTTTGTGAATAAGAACTCTAATAAGTATGCAGTATTATATTAACCATAAAAGAAATCTTAAAAGATTCTTATTGGAATTTGAGAATAATAAGGTTTCATCTCAAAATGTCACCAAAGTCTACAAAACTCAAAGGATATACTTATATGGCGGTGGCAGTGGCGCTCTGATTAAAATTGAATCAAAAATAAAAAACAGTTTACTCATAATGTAGAATTTTAGCACTCAAGCACGTTCAATGTAAATGTTGTAATAACAATAAATGTTGTAGACTCTTAAACTTTGTAACCATAAAGAAATAATGACGGACGCTTGCTATGAAGAGTTTCTCAGGGGATCAAGCAAAAACTAGAATTCGAGATAATACAGCGAATCAAAAGCGTCAACCGCAAACCGTTAATGTAGACACTTCACGTACGTTAACTATTTATATGCAAAATAAAGCGCTGGGATAGAATATATTAGGATAAATTCAGAAATTAGGCTCATCACTAACTGGATATAACATATATATATATATGTTTATATATTATATGTTTATATATATATATATATATATATATGTATATATATATGTATCTAAAATTTACAGTTACAATACATGGTTAGAATAACTACTAAAAGTTTGGACTAAAAAGAGTTAACAGATTGCCAGATTGCCTGAGTGTAAAAATTAGTTGATACCATATGTATAATGGACAAATGCAGCAAAAGCGGAAGCTAGGGCTCACACATCCATAGTATACAATATACCTACTCTAAATATCTGGTAGTGGATGTCATCTATAACGGACTCATCTATCTGTCACAAGAACTTGAATTAGAGGAGAAAGAATTAAATCAGTACAATAATACCACGTCTACATATGTATTCTACATATGTCTCACTGACTCTTGATTATCAATAATCATTCGAACGAGTGATCCTTATGGCGGAATATTCATTTTTTTTGGTTATGCAAAAGCATTATTTATTTAGTTAAGAAGTATGGATATCTCGTTTGATCGGAGAATCTTGCAAGCCGTTTCACACATAATACTAATAGAATCTGTATATAACAGAGTTGACATTAAGTAATAATGGTAAGCCGTCGTTTTCGAATATTACATAGAACTGGTATTATGCCTATATCGTTATGGCTTTAGATTACATATGGCAGTGTGCACACTGTGGGTAACGGTCCGTGTAACAACAATCATTATTGTTTGACAGCGGTCTGCCGCGCCATCGCTACGCTGCGGCGCGGCGCGGCGCACGGTAAACAAATTGTTGCTTGCTAGGTTTGTCCAGCAAGACCACAACATGATGGTTTTGATTAATTTTTCTGGAATTTTCAACCTGTAAAAGCCTAAAACAAATATTATTCAAATAATCCATGATTCTTTACCAGGGTCGCGTTTTATAGATACGTAATATGCCTTATACATGTAACAGCCACCACTTCAAATCAATATCAAATATACAAACAACAACAATTCGGGGAATTGCTATGTAATTATATAATTTGAAAGCGCTTTCTTTGTCTTGTAATTATTTCAAGTGTTTTGTTTACGTGAATTTAAGTAAATGTATTTTTTAGCTAAAATTCAATTTGCTAGTCAATAATTATGATATAAAATAATCCCCATGAAAACGTCTCTGGCATTTGATCCTATATTTAAAAAAAATATATAAAAAACCAGCTCTCGTGAAGAACTTCTTGACAGAATCTGATGAAACAAAATATTCGCCTCACATTATATACAGACGTGTAATGCGATACGTGTTCAGGTCACATTTGGGTCCATTGCGACAGGTCGAGCGAGGCGTCTTATGAAACGGCGCTTGCGCAGCACACCCCACCGACTACTACGAGTGATTGTGTCGAAACCTGCGATACAGTCGCTGGCGTAGTCGCAGGTTTACAACCCTCACTTGTGTTAGCTAGATATATATATATGCTTAACAAAAAAGTATAGTCTTCCTAAACATGTATATATATGTATACTAAAAACAATTGGGAGATGCAGAGAATTTAATAGAAAGATTTACTAGAAAACTTAGGTATATTGCATAGTATATTAGTTGAAAACTGTACTGCATAATCTTTCTATTAAATTAATAAAAAGCCTACACAATGATTTAATATTATAAATTTGCATTAATGAGGGCTACCCGTTTTTCTCTGCATATCCAATTTTATTTTTAGTTTTAATATTCTAAGAGGTATCTTGCTAGAAAGAAAATTACTCAAAGTAATTAATCATGCTTTTAATGTATTTCTACTTTTTATAGAGTTCTAATTATTTTTGTTGTTTTGCTAATCTATTAATATTTATTAATAGATTAGCAAATGATAATTTTAAACCGATGAAAACCAACTAAATGCATTTCTGGCATCGATACTACTTCAATAGAAATGGACTATAAATACATTTCACCCGTTATTGGTTCTCTATTGAAGTTAATTGTTTACAAAAACTTTTTATATTTAGTAGTGAATTTTTTAAAGACATTGTTAGCTAGCTATGCGTTACCGAGATAGAAGCTGCTTACGTAACACATGGGTAATTTTGCATAGATAGTGCACAGTAATGAACCATTATTAGAGTAATTTTGTTAAACGGGACGCTTCGTCAGCCAGCGAAATTGTTACTTCACAATGCTTGCAACTGCGTGACATTAAAAATAAATTCTAATGAATTTCCTAATAGAACGCGTACATTTAAATGATAAAAAAGAAGTAATGTGGTCTCTCCTAATCAAAATTATATTAGGGGCAGAAGATTACTTTTGCCCCTAATATAATTTTGATTAGGAGAGAAGAAAATAGTGTTAGTTTCAATTTTCCAAACAATTCCTTCTTATATTGTTACTTCAATAATTAACAATATAGATACTCTATGGAACATAATTACTGACAATAATTAACAGGGAAATTTATTTTGTTTCGAACATGTTTATTTAATGAGGTTAGAATGTTTCTAGATCCGTTGGGCCAGTGCTTTCGTGGTGGCATTGCACAAGGCTCGCTGCAGGTCGGGCAGGCGGTGCGAGGCTCTCGCAACAGTCGCTATTCGGGTCAACCAACGATTTGTGTGAATTGTGTCATCTGACATATGCTTGCTGTAAACGTTGCTTATTCTTTGTTTTTGTAATGTATTACGTACAATAGAAGCCCTTCGACTATATAGGTTTATAAGATTTTTAAATACCTATGAATAGGCAAATGTTAGGGTGTTTGGATATCTATAACAAAATAATGTTATCAGAATAATATACTTCTTTCTAATAAGTATATAAAACTATAAGTACGTTCGAAGATGTCAACAACAGCTTAACACCACGTTATCCAATTTTCAATTACGTCGTTACAATGTTTCTCTATGTTATCGGAAAATTTGGACATAAATATATATATTTTTTTTTTTTTTTTTGTGGGTAGCAGTGAAACAGTGAACATATTGAAACTTAGCTCTTGATTATTTAATTGTTTAATTTTATATTTACAAAATATTTATACTATATTTTATGCATAAAGTATAAGTATAGTAGTGATCTACCTGCAGTAGTGTTATCTCCTTTGCACTTTCACTTTAAACAACTTTAAATTACAACAATGGAAACAATACAGCAGTCATTGGAGCAGATGATGGAGCACTTCAATACAAGGATGGCAGCCTTCCAGGACAACCTTGAGAAAGCCAGTGCTGCTCCAGTTACCTTGGCTTCACTTGCTACAGACTTCTCACAATTTAAATCCTTGATCGGAGACTCACTGCTTAATCTTCAACATCAAGTTCAGGTTTTGGCACAACAACAAGATCGCCTTGAAATGCACAGTCGACGCAAGATTCTGTTGTTACATGGGATTCCTGAAGACAGTGATATCAACTTGACACTTAATGTATCTAAGATGTTTGCTGAGAAACTCAAGGTAAACATTCCACTACACAGCATAAGACGTATTCATCGTATGGGTCGTGTAACCGGAGGAAAACCTCGGCCCGTCCTTGTAAAATTTCATGGTATTGAGGAGCGTCATAAAGTTTGGATAGCGAAGACTGGATTTAAAAGCAGTGGCATCACATTGTCCGAATTTCTCACTAAAGTTAGACATGACGCTTTTATGATTGCTCGGAAACACTTCGGTATCTCCAAGTGCTGGACTCAAAATGGTGCCGTGATGATCGTCGGGTCTGATGGTAAAAAGCATCAAGTCAGTTCAGTTGCCGAGGTTAACCGACTCATTAATTTGACGCAGAGTGTTACGAGCGACAATACGACATTCCCAGCAACTACCCAGCCCGCCATCGCCCCGAAGACATTGGACACGGCAGGTGTAACACGCTCCAAACGTGTTTTAAAAAAGTAATCTCTTCCTAAGCTGAATAAGTGGTTGTGGTGGCAGTATTATTCACGTGTGGTCTTTCTTATTCTCAAAATTCTGTGGGTAGGTAAATTTCGTAGGTAGCACACTATATAACATTTGTTTTTCATTTGTTTTTTTAAAAAATACTTTTATACAATTACCAACCCACATTAAAAACAAATATAATTAATTATTTTCACTTTGATGACATTTGGCATTTATGACAGTGACTGACTTGACATTTGACAGATCTGACAATGTAATACGTATTTATGGTAATTTTGGCCAAAATGGCAAATTTTTTACTTTTTGGCATTATATTCATACAGCCATAGTCTTTAATATTGCCACCTTAATTCAATCTGAGTGTTTATATTTGTTTTTGTTTTCGTTTTTGTTGTAAAAGATATAATTTATTTAATTTTAACACCTACTACTTGCAGGTAGATACATAGATAAAATATTTTTGTAATTTTTGTATATTATTATTGTTGTTTTTATATACATATTTTGTATTATATTTATATATTAATTTTGTGCACATACGCCTATGAATAGTGATACTGATGACTCATTTAATTCTGCTTCGTCTCTTAACAGCGATGACAGTTTTCATAGCGCATCTCTTCCTTTAGATGAAATATTAAATAATACCTTTTCAGAACTACCTAAGAACTTTAATGCCGTTCATATTAACGCACAAAGTATACCAGCACATTTTCCTGAAATGCTAGCGACATTTAAAGTTAATAATCTTCACGCCATCTTCATTTCAGAGTCATGGCTGAAGCCCTGTCTTTCTTCCATCTCATACTCTTTACCCGGTTTCCGTCTAATTAGATGTGATCGCACTGGTAGGGGAGGCGGTGGTGTTGCCATATACCTGCGCTCCGATATCCCTTTCGTTTTAATTAACTCCTCCGTCAGCACTAACCCTTCCTATGAACCTGAGCACCTTTTTATCGAAGTCACGCTTTCCCATTCCAAAATTCTCCTAGGAGTGTTTTACAGCCCATCACCTTCGGTTGACTATTTTTCCATATTTGAACAGCTCCTAGAGAACCTGATTCCGTCCTATAGTCATACCATTATTATGGGTGACTTTAACACCTGCCTCTTAAAAAATGACTACCGGGCAAATCGTCTTCAGTCTGTAGTTAACGCCTGCAACCTAAATATCCTACCTCTTAGCGCTACCCATTTCTTCCCTAGTTGCAATCCTTCCTTGCTCGATTTAATCCTCGTTTCATCTCCTGACCATGTTGCCCATTTTGGTCAATTCCCTGCAGATGGTTTCTCCTTTCATAACCTCATTTACCTTTCCTATAAAATTCGCCCACCTAAAATGAAACACAAAATCCTTATGCAGCGCAGTTTTGGTTCTATGGACATGGATTGTTTACGCAAAGACGCTTCAAATTGTGATTGGTCAACTATCAGCACTTTACCTAACGTTAACGAACAAGTTGATCTATTCAATAAACTGATTGTAGATCTTTACGATAGACATGCCCCTATCCGCCCTGTTAGAGTTAGGCATTTGCCTGCACCCTGGCTCACAGATGAGATTAAGACTGTAATACTGAGGAAGAATAGGGCCAAGACAAAGTTCAAGTCGAACCCCGACAGATTTCGAAATGATTACATCAACGCCAGGAATCTCTGCAATAGGATGTGTAGAGAAGCTCAAAGACGCCACATTCATAAATCCGTTGAAAATGGAGATCCAGCTAAAGTCTGGAAATTTCTTAAGTCACTAGGGGTTGGTAAAAAACATCATGATAATCCTGTTGCTATTGATATAGAATGTCTCAATCAACATTTTTGTTCTTGTCCTACTATAGATATCACTGGAAAAATAAATACCTTACGTACTCTTTCATCTTTTTCTACCCCTGACTGTTCTCCTTTTTTCTTTGATAAATTGACCGATTGTGATGTTGAGAAGAGCTTGCTTTCAATTTCTTCGAATGCCGTGGGAACTGATAGCGTTAGTCGTAATATGATCATTCCTATTCTTGATATCATTTTGCCCTCCATTACTTTTATTTTTAATAGATCTCTATCCTCCGGCGTCTTTCCTTCCAAATGGAAAGATGCTTACATTATTCCCCTACCCAAAAAGAACATTCCTACCTCATTCGCAGATTATCGTCCTATTTCCATTCTCCCTTTCCTATCCAAAGCCTTTGAACGTTTAGTCCAACAAAAGCTTAATTCATTCCTAACCAGACATAACCTTTTAAATCCTTTACAATCTGGTTTCCGCCCTGGTCATAGTACGACTACCGCTCTTATGAAAATATCTGACGACATTCGTCTTGCTATGGAGAACTCTCAGCTTACTGTTCTCACATTACTTGATTTCAGTAACGCTTTTAATACTGTGGATTTTGATATCCTATTAGGTTTGTTGTCCTCTCTCAACATATCTCCAACGGCAATTGAATGGTTTCGTAGTTACCTGTTGGGGCGTCGGCAGCGTATTCGCATAGATGACGCTTTGTCTACTTGGTGCCTTACGTCAGCTGGCGTGCCTCAGGGTGGTGTCTTATCTCCTCTATTATTCGCTTTGTTTATTGGCTCTATCACTTCTACACTTCAATCTTCCTACCATCTTTATGCAGACGATCTCCAAATCTACACTCAGGCTACCTTGGTAGATATTTCTCAAGCCATTTCCACAATTAATGATGATCTTGCCCGTATATCTGCCTGGAGTAAGTCTTACGGCCTTGTTGTGAACCCCTCGAAGACACATGCCATCATTATAGGTAGCTCCAGATATATTTCGCAAATATCTTGGAATGACCTTCCACCTGTAGTCTTTGATGGGGTCCTTATTGAATACAAGAAATCTGTAAGAAATCTTGGCGTTGTTTTTGACTGTACTTTGTCTTGGTCTCATCAAATCTCCGAGGTCAGCAAAAAAATGTTTGCGGCAGCAGGTAGCTTAAACAGATTGCGTAACTTTCTCCCTTTTGAAACCAAAATTGCACTTGCTCACTCCTTACTTCTTCCTATCCTCGATTACGCAGACTCCTGCTATTTAGATCTCACTGAAGAGCAACTAAATAAACTTGAGCGACTTCAAAATTTATGTATACGTTTCATATTTGGTCTGCGCAAATATGATCATATTTCCCATTATCGTACTCAACTCAAGTGGCTCCCTATCCGTCTTCGTCGCAACTTACACATCCTTTCACTCCTTTACAGCATTCTCTTTAACCCCCACACTCCTGATTATCTAAAAGACAGTTTCACATTTCTCAGTGAGAACAGTAGCTATCCGTCGCGTAATGTTAACAACCTCCTTCTCAGATATCCTTCTCATTCCACTTCCTTCTATTCTAAATCCTTTTCTGTCCAGGCTGTCAGGTTATGGAACGCACTCCCCCCTTGCATTCGGAGCATTCAGTCACTTGCTAGTTTCAAAGTCTCTGTCAAATCCCACTTTCTTTCCCTTTAAGTTCATATTGTCCTCTTTCTCATAGTTCCCTTCATATTTTCTGAAGATATGTGCATTATTAAGTATATGTATGTTTACGTATGTTTATATTTTATTATATATATTAATAGATATATTTATGTACAAATGTATATTTATGTTCATTACGTGCACCACCTACTATTTTCTTATCTTAATGTTACTTTCTCTACTGGTAGTCTGGAAGAGATTGCTTAGCGATAAGACCGCCTTTTGTATCAGTTTATGTATTATATCATTTTGTGTGTTTTCTTTGTCTGGTGCAATAAAGAGTTTAAATAAATAAATAAAAATAAATATAGTAGTTTACAACAGTCTCATTTTTAATTACAAATGTTAAAAACAAATTGAAATTTCTACCGCTATAGTATTGTCCAATCTGTATTAGTTAATATTTTTATGACATCAACTATAAGTAGCTACACATACAGGTAATAGGTACAAAACATTAATTTAGACAATTAATAATTTAGTTAACTGTGGGTTGTTTATTCAAATTTCAGAGTACTGGATGTTGCAAACATCAGCAGCATCTGGCGAAACGCGGAATGGTAAGTGTAACTCACACCACGGCAAATTCGCGGTGCGTATGTGTATGCACGCACAACAGGCAGCGCGCGCGCCGCATCGCGGCCCCGCTCGCAAGTAGGTCAGGGCGCTCTGCGGCCGCGCGCGTTTTAAATTTAGAACGATCTGAGCTTCAAGCTCCGCCCCCACGCGATCACCTAACTACCAACTATGAGACAAAGTACCTATTTACCTTCAAAACATTCACCTGTACACCCTTGAACGATCATATAATCAGAGTCCATCATATACAGAACCAACTATGACACCTCCAAATATAATTGTAATATGCATGTCTATTTCGAGGTGTTCTAATTGGCAAGATTTAGTTTGTGTAACTGACTAGCCAAAGGGCATTTTCATAAAGGACAATATGTAATCTTTTCTCATAATTCTTATTAATTATATCACATACATTTTAAAATCAATGGATGGTGTGGTTGAGTTGCATTTTTTTTTCAAAATTTGCTAATATCGCAGGAATGGATGGATATTAACTCATTGTCCATAAGTTATTAAATACTAATCGGAAGGAAATCGTCATTAAATATGCTATGGAATTGGAAGCTTGACATGACACTGTAATATATCTTTCATACCCTATTTTACTAACAGTAATCAATTATGATTACTGTTAGTAAAATTTTGAACAATTATGTTCAAAATCCCTGGAATATGGGTTTCTTGATCTTTTATCTCTTATGAGATTTCATCCCTTTTAATTCTTCCCTTTCCCTGAGAATTTTCCCATTATTGAGATTGTATCCCTTCTTCCCCCTTTTCATCATTAGTGGATTTTCTAAAATCCTTGCCTTGAGGATTCCAATATCACACAAGAAAGATGTCTGTTGTTAGATAATACAATATTTAAACATTTATCGAAATCTAAAGAATTCAAAGTTAATTCAATTGTATCATTGTATTAGATTTGCTAAATCTTAGTAATAGTAAAGTTAAAGTCTCCGAAGTCATCCACGGTTTTAATTTAAAGCTGCACTTGTTCTTAGAGCACGGTGGTTAGTACTATAACCAAATTCTCATTAATAGAAAAATAGTAGATTGTATGAGAGGGTAGAAATATTTTAACGAACGATTTATTTTTTTTGCGAACGACTAATTAAAGAAGTTACCATTTTTTGGTTTCTATTGGATTCTGTAATAATGGTATTAAATCTAAATATTCATATTTGAATCTTGTTAGAAAATCAGTTACTGTTGTTTAGGAAACCTAAAAAATATGTTCACAATTTCATAATAGGCAAGTAACTACTCTTAAGCCGTACACATAACAGTATTATTACAAAATTTATATGATTACTCCAAACTTCAACTGAAATTGAAATATTATTATCACCAGCTTTCCTCTTCAGCTACAGCAGCAGCAGCAACGTTTTGTTGCACTGTCTTCTCCCTCTGTTTACATGGTGATGTTGCTATTGGTGTACGTAAATCTAAAATCTATATATCTCGATTTTTTTTAACTTGACAATCATGTCAATATATATGAATAAGAAATTATATAGATTGCTTTCCTACATATACATTGCATTTTAACGAATAAATGATGTTATATATATATGAACGCCAAAATGGATTACCTTCCCATACATGAATAAATACGTAACTATTCTTTATAAAGTTATATATGGTAGGCATGGACATTAGCATTATCCGCTTATAATACAGTTAGATTCCTAAAAATTTAAATTCGTAACATCAAGGTTGATAAAAAAAATATTTTAGGGTCACAAATTCATCATTCGATTGATAATATTTGTGGTCAGAATATCTAATTATTTTAATCATTACAGTAGATAATGATAGATTAGAACGAAAGAAATTTGACGACCTCGGTGGTCTAGCGGTCTGGCACACCGCTTTACGACCGATGGTCGCGGGTTCGATTCCTCGCACGGTACAAACATTTGTATTCATGAGTATGATTGTTTGTATCGGTCTGGGTGTTTTCTATGTATAATATGTATGTATTTACAAAAAAAAAAATCATGTATTTGTATCAGTTATCTAGTACCCATAACACAAGCTTTAGCTAGCTTAACTTGGGACTAGATGGCGTTGTGTGAATTGTCCTGAGATTATTACTATTATTATATTTATTAGAACTACTTATTTTAATTAAAAAAGATGTTAGAATGAATCTTTTCTATGTAATCGATCATACTAGAGTATAATTTAGTAATGAATTACCTGTATGTTATTAGTTTATTTACACGTCAGCTGTCTTTCAATCAATCAAATCAAAATCCATTCATCGCATAAACTATGCCCTATAAAGCATTCTCTGGGGTTTATTTCAGACATATTTACATGTCTTAAATCCAGTTCACTAACGTTTTATTTTGTATCGATTGTATTCAAGATTATGATTTTGATTAAACCGTGTGTTAAACACAGATAATGCACAAGTTTCTAAATACGTAGTTTTTTGATATCTTGCTATATCTGAACTTGACACAAAAAAATATAAACTATGTTTTCTAATTCGCAGTATACTTTCTTTTTATATTTGTTCAAGTATTTATAACTATTGATTGACTGGCTTTAGACTGCATTACATTATTCAATTTGCGCAATGTAAGTATACTGACGGCGCCGCCGCGTTGGGAAATTAATTTTGGATGCAAAGATCAACATGGTGCCATTATTTTGTCAATTTTTTGCTCGATAATGGTTCGATTTCAGCAATATATAATAGCTAATGTTACTGAAATGTAGTACCAGATATTCTAATTGAATAATGCTCACTTTATATAACATAGGCTACAATAAATATGCGTCTTAGATAATAAGTTATTCATATGATTTCGTCATGTTGATCATTCTATTCTCTCCCAAATGTTCTATCTCAATTGGTACAAGGTATCAACTTGTGGCAATTGATTTAACCTAGTGGGGCTGAGATCTAAATGTTATTATTAACTTTTGCGGTAACGTCTGTATATTTATTTTATTTATCATAAAGTATGTCTACAGAAATGGCTGTTTTATATCATACAGACTATTTAGTAAAGTTAATTATGATTATAACATACGAGGGACCATTTCAAAATCAGCGCTTAAATAGCATTTATTACTCATGACGTAATGTTCACTGGTGGCTAGGTGAAGTCCATGTTGGCGACTCTAATTGTGACGCACGCCATAGCATTATCGAGTTCATCCAAGAGCACTAAAAGAGAACTGTTATAATTATTGGAAAATATTTTTTGTACTCACCTTCCAATTTCATCCCAACATCGAGGCACTTTTGGAAGCGACAGAACGGGCAGCGCTTTCTTTGCGTTTTGTCTATGTGACAAGCTCGTTCAGCAACGCACGTGTACACCTTCTTATTCTGAACCGTCCGCTTGAAAAATCCTTTGCAGGACTCGCATGTGAGGAGTCCATAGTGATATCCGCTGACTTTATCCCCGCACACAGGGCACAGCTCCTCGATTACATCCTTTGTATCAGTTTGATCGCACACTGTACCGGCTGCAGGCAAGTATGCACCTGGTTCTCCAGCAGCGCCTGTTGGAAATAGATACGAAGCATCCAAGTTGGCATAACCGAATGATTGTTGATCTGGCGTGCATTGATATGCTGTGCCTTGGGGTACGTAAGGTTGAGAAGCGCCTGAAGGTCCACCGCCTGAGCCAGATCCCTCTGGGCCTGGACTCAAATCAAACGGGGACATGTTAAGGGACATGAGGCCTGTTTGCTGATCCATCGTCATGCTCAGCCGCACAGGGCGGCAGCTTGTTACAAATCCCTACTGCGGCGTCCAACCGCGACAACGTTCACACAGTCACCGAGTTCACTAGCGGTCTAACCGCAACACTATCTGCCGCTCGCGGGCTGCACCTGTTCAAGCACTATATAATCAGACACATAAATCCAGAACATTTTGTCCAAATAGTGTGTTGTTTAAAAACTATGAGGCGTTGAACGCCTTCAGCCACTGCCGACTGTTCTTAGAAATGTTGATGGCGCGCGTGATATTACGATCGTGTTGAGAGTTGATCAACAGCGGCACACGTGCCGCTCGAGAGACGTTTCGCGATCGACTGGCGGCCGGCCGGCGACAACAGCGCGCGTGCCGGCGCCTCCCGCATGCGCGCCCCGCCGCCACCCGCGGGCCCCCGCCCGCTCGCACAATGGAAAACGATTAGGAGCCCATGTAATAAGTGAAAGTGAGTCGGTGACCCACTTTCCCGCGATCCAGGTCTATGTTAGTGCGCGTTCGCGCGGTTGCGCCACCGCGCGGGAGGACGGCGCGGGGGGCGGCCCACTGACCCAGTTGCGCGCAGTGCCGCAGCAGGGCAGGGTTGCCGCGAACAGCGAGCTTGTGTTTATGTTCGCACGACATTCGTTCGCTAATAACGCGCAATGTAAGGATGGAGCTATCGCCAATGACGCAGCGGCTGCGTCGGCGCAATATGCCACTGATCCACCTCCTTATAATACTAAACATGAGATATTCCATAGATATGATTGCAGCTCTACAATAACACAAATTTAAACTGCCAAAGTAACTGTTTAAACATATAGAACCACGTATACATCAATGCTTTAAAAAAATATGAGGGTAATACCGACGAAGATTATAAATTATTATACATAAACAAAACCCTTAATTGCCTTAAACTATACAAGAAAATTAAAAATGTAAACCCAAAAAGTTTTAAAACGCAGTAGCGTAATATATAATGCAACTCAAATTTTCACAAAAGAAGTCGTAAAAACACTAGGCAGTGGATACATCCCGTTAGGACACAAAACAATCAACAGACATCGCTAAAGGAAATATCGGCATCTTTGGTGTACATATACACCAAGGACAAACAATACAACACCTTTACTACAATGAACACCCAATTATAACAAAAAACTTCGAGCATCTGCAAGGACTATTGACTAGGTACCGAAATAACTATTTCATATATCCTTACTTTCCTATAATAAAAGGAGACAATAATAATATGAATAGGATATATTAAAAAGAAGTTCTACTAGTGAAATTGTGATTCTGAGTAGACTAAAGTATAATAAAGCATAAACAGTTATATTAGTTACAGTTATATATATTAAATAACAGTCACACCAAAAAGTGTGATTATTATTAACTAAATCAAGCAAGCAATTGTGATAATTGCGAAGAAAGTACATCAGTTTCTTAAAGTTTAATCTACCACACCTGTAGCTATGAGGACAGAGGACATAATATCTGCGGAAAATATAGACCCGAATCAGTCAATTAGATGAAGTTGGACATATCAATATAACTTAAGTAGAAAAATAATTAAGTTGATTATACAAATACAACTATTGACACAGCGTTTTGAATAATATTGCAGCATATTTTTAGCAAATTTGCAATTAACACTTAATAAAAACAGAAAAGAAACAAAAACGGCCAATTTTGGGCTATAATATGAGTGCTATTCAATATCAAAACCGAAATAAATTAAAGATCTTGACCTGGATTTTGTTAAAATCAGTCAACGGGTCATGACCGAGTGACTGTCAGTAACAGCCTTGTACTCGCTGTGTAATGTGATTCTATTCCTAAAACACTAAACGACGTAACAATACAATACATATGTACCGCCACTTTAGGGAGGATTAAGCGACATGCGTCCACTGAGCTGTTGTCCACGATTTCGTAAAATAGTAGGTACATGCAACAACGCAATAGCTCTATTATTAAATTAATTATATTCTAAAAAATAAGTTACCAAGGTATAATAAGTATTATATTAATTACCGTTTTTCAGAGCTACAAAATTATCTGTGTCAAGGTGGAGAACATGATAAATTTCGCGGTGATCGGTGATTCAATTAAAGTTACTTATCAAAATGCATTTATATTTTCTTTATCAATTTTAATAATCAAGAACTATCTAGTAAACGATAGCTATAATGGGTCTTGTAGCCTATAAAGGTAACATTATATACAAAGCATTCCTTGTATTGTACAAGAAAAGTGGAATACAATATGACTCAATAGTTTCGATTTCATAATCGAGACCTGAATACCGGATGAAAAAGCGACAGCAATATTGTGTACTCACGAAGTATGTCGTTTTCGCTATCGCGCAGACGTCGCGGCCTCCTACGAAAGCAAAAGTGGTCGCGGAGTCGCACGCGCACCATTTCTTTCTTTGCACACGCGCAAGTGACGTCACACTTTCTCCATATCCAATGACGCATGTTGATGTAACGCATTGTAACGTAATGTAATATAACTAGTAATAGACGTGCTTGACTTTATCGCGCGGCTTGGTAACGTCGTTCAACATGGAATTGTTTATGCGGGACATAGTTTGTTATTTCTGTTGATGTAAAATTGATTGATACAGTTTGATTCTAATCCATGAATATTTATTCAGCAGTTTATGATGTTTTTAATTTATAATAATAGTCTTAATATATAGGACTATACGTTTTGCATGTAATGTACATTTTAATTCTTATTACATATAATGTATATTACATTTTTTCATTTTTGCTATAGTAACTTGTTTCGGTTGTTCTATAATAAATTTGTACATACAATATAATGACATTATTATCTACATCGCATCGGCTTTTTCTCATCACTCATTTTCTATAGTAAATATTTGATGTGACGGTGTTTATGTATGTAATTTGATTATTTATGTCCCTCAAAATAGGGCTAGAAAATAATTTATTCTCAAAGTGAGATAAGCACGATGAAATAACTTCAAGAGCCTTTGCTCTAAGGAAAACTTGCTTTGAATAAGTTTATTCCACAACCGGACTGTGTGCTGAAGGAAACATGTCTAAAACTACACTAGGATGTCTGAATTAAGTTGGAACTGACGTCAAACATTTCCTCAGAACTTTGTAATACAAGTTTAGAACATGCGAAGAGAAATGTAAGTCAGTACTTAGTCACAGATGCTACTTGGAACGGATGCAGTGGAACGTCAGTGTTTCTGAACCAACTCAAAAGTATAAGCAAGATATATGTATATATGATGACACCTATACAGTATTTCTTTGATAAATTCCATATGGCTTTAGGCTCGCTTGTATGAAAATACATAGAGGATAGATAAATGCTGCTTTGCTTTTTACTGTAAACTTTTCGATTATTTCGAATTGCCACCTTAACCTTCTAATATAATTGACCAAAAATCGTTTGTGCTAGAGATGTCGACACGGAAGATTACAATGATTTTCGACACAACAGCGGATGTGAATAATAATTTCACAAGAATATACAACAAAACAATACAATAAATAATTTCTAAGTAAGTGTTCACACACGCTTGATATAAGCAGATTTTGCAAGGGCCACTTTTATTTAACATCATATATGTATTGTACTTAAAATCTTTTATGAATAAAATTTTTATTATTACATCTTTCATTGCATATTTAGGAAAATTATATTTATTTTTTTTAGTCCTTAATACTTACATATACAGTTTAAGTCGTAAGTAATATATTAATTTGGCCCTAATAAAAGGCTAAAGTTATTTTAACTACCTATACATTACACATTAAGGTTTTCTTTCACAATGAATTGGAGTACAACAACTGTTTTTTACCTAAATCTAATAGATATTATAGGTACCCTAGTTATGTATCTACTCTCTTGTTAAATGTATATATATATATATATATCACAGTCTTCAAAAGACATTGACCGTTAGAGCAAGCTATATCAAGTATATAGTCTGATAAAATATGTCCTTTAGACGGATTTATTTTTATAATAGTACGTATTCATTGAATAACTAAAATAAAAGCAAGCTGGGTAAAGAGAGCACACGCCGACTCGTAACAAAAAATATTTAATATGATGAAGAGAGAAGATAAATACTATGTATTCTGAGGAGCAACAATGACGAACTTAAAGAGGAAATATTTTTTGTATGCCTGTTGAATAGACAAATTCAGATATTTTTTTTACCTATGAAGAGCTACTTTATCACCTAGTGACGTAGGTTGTACGCAGACCACGCCGAGGGATACAGCTAGTATACAAATATAGAAGTATTGCCGCTAACGCACACCTTTATTTGTGTATAATGACACAATATTATTTTATATCAAATAAGTTTTACATAGTATGTAAACCTAATAACGAAGTTTTTTTTTTTTTGCTGAGTCGCTGTGGTTCTGTACCTATAAATTCAATGACAATAAATATACATAATACCGAAAAGTTTTGTTAACGTGTTCGAACGACGCCACATAAATTATTCAAGACCTCAAACACCTCACCAATTGACAAAGTTATATAGGGCACAAAATTCGGCCAAACGTGCAATTACATATACACGAAGGGTGGTTGAGGTGCGGGGAGGGCGGATTTTCGGGTTATTGAGTCAAGTGCAGTAGGCCACGGGGTCAACAACAACCCCTACAAATTTCGTATGTGAATATTCGAGCGCAGGTATTAATGAAACTGTCTATCAAATGCATATCAAACTATAATTTAATGTCGATTAAAGAGTCTTCTAATGATTTACATTTTTAAATACCTTCAATTATTTTTTTTAATTTGCACTAATTAACTTGAGTATTCGCAATTATAGAATTTCTATGGATATTAGGGCCATAACTGTTTCTATTGAAATAACTGTACTTAATAGTATAATCTGACACACAAAATTAAATCATTATACGAGATACGAATAATTATACGTGAAGCAAAAACTTTGTACCTCTTTATACGAAGATTAAGCAGATGGAATGCGAAATTTTATAAGTAGTCGACTTATAAAATTTCGCAGAGTTATAGTTTTTATGGAAAAGGAGTGCAGAATTTCTTTTAAATATGCGTCAAATAAATAAAAGAATCAATAAATAAATAACTACACGCGTAGTGCGTGTAATTATTTATTTATTTTTTTAACATACACACGCATAGTCTTTGGTAATAGAAATATAATAATGTTAAATATAACTTGTACTTTTTAGTTTTATGGTCACATTTAGACCATTGGACGACCTCTAGTATATATAA